TACTGGTGCCACTAAAAAAATATCTTTTTACCATCACACAATCACGAACCTTATTATTTTTCACCCCCATCTTATTTCAGTTACCAGTACCATGGTGGCAGTAAACACAATAATTACCAGAACTTCTTAAAATCTATTCAGGCTATTCCGTTGATATCTGATGCCCCTTATTAATTTTACGGACAGCGAGTTTGCTTGAACGTGTAGTTAGTTGAAAAATAGATACGATTAAGTTATTGAATTAATGAAAATAAAACCGTCTTCATCAACGACTTTCTTTTACAATGAAAGCAATATCTTAAACGAAAAATTAATTGACTGATTAATTTGTTTTTTACGACTTATGAATTCTTTTCAGGTTATTTAAAGCCAGAAAATATTTTTGGATTGTCAGATTTTTTTTTGAGATAATAATGAGTTTTTACTGATACAAGTTCTACTAATTAACTTATACCCAGTGGGGTGCTGAGAAGAGGTTGATTCATAATTTTCGCAACGGTATTTGCGCATAAGTGTATATAACGAACTCGACATGAACTTGGTACTCTGGTTTTTAATTTCAAGCCGTTATAAATTAACCTATCCATACATCCAAGTTTACAACACCTGGTATTCCGAAGTGGTCACCCATCTAGACTTAACGTTGCTTAACTTTAATATTTTTATTAGTTAGTTTTTCACAGAAATATTATTTCTGTACTATTCAATCTTTCTCGTGCATAAATGAGCGACTGAGTGAGTAAGCAAGGTGCGTAATTTTAAATATCTGGGAAGCGTTTTAAGAGAATGGAAAAATGTGATGCTGATGTCCGAACACACACTGGGCAAGCAAAAGGAGCATTCCAAAAACTAAGCTCTGAGAAATGGTAACATTTCCTTAGAAATAAAGAAAAAAGTGCTAGATTGCTATGTGGTATCCATTCTGTTATATGGCGATGAATGTTAGACAATTTCTCTAAGGCAGAGGAAAAACCTAGAAGCAGCTGAAATGTGGTTCTACAGAAGGATACAGAGCATTGCATGGATAGAGCGAGTATACAACCTGGAAGTCTTAAAGAAAATGGCAACAGAAAGAAAACTAATTCTCAGAATCAGGAAGAGGCAGGCGAAAATTCTTGCGCCCAAAATGAGGAAGGAGGGCTTGGAAAACAGAACACTGCTTAACTCACTGCTGAGTACTGCCGAAATTGACAGCTAGCAACTGGATGAAATGCACATTCAGTTAAGAAAAATGGGACTGGCATTGGTTAATCGACGAGGTCCAGTTCAGCTTCATGACAATTCTGTTTTCATGACATTCAGTGAGAGAGGGGTCAATAGATTGAGGAGGTCATAATTTCGAAAATTTTCTTCCTTTTTTTGATCCGAGGTAATTTTAACATGATTTAGAAAAGTGTTTTGGATCGTTGTCTTGTTGAAAGGTGATTTTTTTTTCAATTATTCGTAAACCAGATAGTATAGCATATCTTCGCAAAATCGAATAATATTGTTTTGTTTTCATGACTCCTTTGACCTGAATTAAATCTCCTGCCTCTTTGGTAATCTCAACAAGTTAATGGATTAATGATGAAAACAAAATATCATGTTTCTTATATGAAATATTCAAAATTCAGCAAAAATGTATTGTGGACGGTATTTACTTGCCCCCCCCCCCTAATTGAGTCAGGTTGTGACACAAGGTCAGTTTTTAACGTGGGGACCCGAGTGTTTTCACTTGGGCCGCTGGTCTAAGCTGGTCATAGCTTGTCCAAGCTGGTCAGAGCTGGTCTAAGCTAGTCTTGCCTTGTCATAGCTAGTCCAAACTGCAAAATGTATTGTGGACAGACGAATCCAAATTTGAACGTTTTAGTAGTAAGAGGAAACTGGAGAAAGACTGAAAAAAAAAGACGATCATTTGCAGTGAAATATAGCAGATATAACCCTGTAGATAGAAGGTAGATATATTGTAAATAGTTTATCGCTTGTAGTGTATATTAGTTCTAAAACCTCGAGTGAGTTAGTGTATCAACCTTCTGGCTGGCAGGCTACAATTTTATCTCTGAGTTGTGTTTTTGACTTCAGAGAGAGAGCAAAAGAATTTAATGATGTGGAGGGCTCAAGAACAGTCAACGGACGTACGGCACAAAACTGGTTCATCCATTTCAAACGTGAGACCAGTTTCGAAGACAAATCAACGTCAGGAAGCCTTCTTTTGAGGAAGATGAGGCCTTACTTGAAACGATTGAACAATAGCCAAGCGCAAGCACTCGTACAATGTCGGCAAAATTTGATCTTTCACAAAGCACCACCAATCGATATCTTCATAAAGGTCAAGGTCATGTGAACAGAGGCTGTTGGGAAATTCCTCATGAACTGACCAATGATCTGCCTCAACGACGTACACAAATCCTCAAGATGCCTGTCGAATGGGGATGAAAAGTGGATCTATTTTCGTAATCCTAATAAGAGAAATTTGAAGTTTTCCTCGGTCCAAGCTTCAGCATCTGTTGTTAAACAAGGGCGGTTTGAAGAGAAGGTCATCTTTTGTGTTTAGTCGAATTACTAAGGGTGTTGGGTTTTGAGCTTATCCCAGATGGTCATTCTGGACGCTATACGATGCTTTGAAAGCCTGCTACCAACATTAGTTAATCCCTTTTCCGAACCATGGCTCATTTTCATTTTCTCTGCTGATGGAGGTTCAAAAATGTGGATGAGGTTGAAAATAGATGCATGAAGGTCTTTGACTCTAAACCAATCAAATAGGATAAGCGTAGAATTGAGCTTCTGGCAAAACGATTGCTACAGACGATAGAATAAGATGAGATATATTTTCGTATGTAATTCATTTGAACTCGGGAATACTTGATTGACGACATTACTACCTGATGTAAACAGAGCAGTGGCCGACAACGAATCCTTAGTAATCGCTTACCACAAACGTCGGGTTAGACTGGCTCAAGTCAGGCCTTCATGCAATGCAAGAGGTACGAGACAGATACGTTCAGCATTTTAGCATGCTTTACCTTCACTGGATATAAAAACAGAAGGTACACTAACGAGAATCTTTTAAAACCTGATACTAGACACAACGCTTCACATGGGCCCAATAACTGGATTCTAGAGAACTGTCAGCGCATGGTCTTTGGTCCAGTCAATCATAGTTCCATTTGTTTGCGGCTAAGAATAGGATTTGTGTGTGGCGCATGTCACATGAAGTCATAAACTCCAGTTATTAAAAAGGCACCGTGCAGTTTGGTGATGATTCCATATTGGCGTAGTTTTGTTATATACTATTGTTCACCTAAAAAAAGACCCAAAAGCCACTCAAAGTAGAGGGATAATGAATAAGTTTGAATGAGTGCAGAATATGCGCATATGTAGAAAAGATAACGGTTAGCCTAAGATTTGAAGAAGTTATGATCATAGTACTCGGGGAAGCATCCTCTCAGGAGTTTGTTCAACAAAGTAACAGTTCTTGGGAAGAAGCTGTCTGAGTTGGTTCCCCGAAATGGATTGAGTCCTCTGATCCGTCTTAGTATGTTGCACTTCGTCGTGACCGATTACATATATAATAAAGAATCCATTTACCCCAATAAGGAAGGGTTATTTTAACAGGATAATACACCGTATCACTGGACCCAAATTGCCTCGAACTTGTTTCAAGAGCGTTCATGAAAAATCCCAAAGAATGCTTTGACCATCATATTCACCCAACATAAGTCTAATCAACCATTTCTGAAACATTTTGTAGAGGTCTCAGGTGAGATTATGCTTCTACATATATCAGGAAGCTGTGGAGTTATCGAAGCCACATGGCTCTTTATCTTTCTGCTTTAAGTTGCAGCATTTTGCTTAGATAGGAGTCCTACAAGACACTATGCATACAACCGATGACCTTTGTCACGTGACCGACCTTTTTTTATACCATTACATATCTGGGGACGCGCATGCGTTACACTGGAGGGTATTAGCGGGGACGCACTTCTTAGAGTGTCCACTGCTCCAAGTAAAAACGGAGTTCGCTATCCATTTATTTCTGATATCGTAGAATATTTTTCTTTCCTTAATATGATTCAATGAACCCTGGCTAAAAGGAAAAGGTCTTGAACGCAAAGATCAACTGAAAGTAAAAGGACTTTGTTATCACAAGATAAATGAATTGGACACTGTTTTCGTTTCTTGTTTTATTTTCTTTAACAACATTTTTTTTAAAGCTATCATTTATTTTTCTTCCGACTACGAACTTTTGAACTCTCTTTCATTATTCATCATTCTTGAATAAAATTCTTAATTTTGAGTTGACAAAATTTCTTTGTGCCTTTTGTTCATAAATGCTATTTGTAACACAGACACTCACCAATGCTCCCACACAGACCCCTTCTTCAATGCCATCAACCCTACCTCCACTCTATTCTCTTTTCTAGAACATTGTGAATTGGAAACAGATCGACTGTTATCCTTTTAAATCCTGTCTTGTATGAATAAATATCTTTATTAATTACCTTCCGCACAGTTAATATCCAAGACCTCAAGCCTAAAAAAGTAGCCTCTTTAGGTTCCAATAATTCCCAAATTTTTTCTACTTTATACAAGTTATACAAGTACTGGAAAAATAAAATGAAATAAAATAGAATTTGTGTAATAAAAAAAAAAAAAAAGTAAAGACGAGAATCAGTTGGCATGTATAAAATTAAAATGAAAAGATACCAAAGAAGGTTGAAATGAGCAGTTGCGTCACTAACTAAATTAGAAGCAACTTGAAAAGCTGCGGCGTTGTTGGTAATCGTGAATTTTCACGCATGCGTATCGTTTGATGAGTTTGCAGTTGTTTTGAAAAAAAAAAAAAACACACACACACACAAAAAAAAACGCATTTTTAACGTCTGAACTAATTTCAGTTGGAGACGCCGAAGATTAACGTTGGTCATGTTTTGAAATCACACGAAACTGAGAGAGTCAAGATAACTGTTTTGGGTGCGCATGCGCATTGTTAATTCGTATTTTGTTTTTGTTATACGATTCTATAAAGATATTTTAAGGTTAAGTTTGTAAAAACCCTCAGAATTGAAATCGAGAGAGAGCAACATGAAAATTCCGGGACAAATGGAAGGACAAAAATAAAAAAAAAGAAAAATGAAACGAATGAAAGAACCACAAATTGAAGTAAACGGACGAAAAATATAGTTTAATAAAAAGAAAGAAAGAAAGATAGAAGTAGACAGAAACGAGAAGGGTGAGGTGATAAAAATGGCCGAATTAAGAAAGAAAGAGAGAATGAATGAAGGAAAGAAGTAAAAATTAACGAAATGGCTGAAGTGATAAAAATTATCTAAACAGGAAAGAAAGAAAGAACGAAGGAAGCAAACAAACAAGAATTGGCGAAAAGTGAAAAAGATGGCTTGAAAAAGAAGGAAAGAAAAAAGAAAGAAAGACTTAAAGTAGTAAAAACTGTCGAAAAGAGGCTTGAGAGGAAAGGATGAAAGAAAAAGAAAGAAGAAAGAAAGAAAGAAGAAAGCAAGAGTAAAATAAAGAAAGAAAGAGAAAAACAGTAAAAATTGACGAAAAAAGCTTAAAACAACTTAGATAAGAAAAAAAAGAAAAATGAATGAATGAATTAGTAATTGATGAAAAGGATGAATGAAGGAAATATAGGTTAACAAAAAAAAAGAAGAAAAGAAAGCAAGAAATTATGGAAAAGGCTAAATAGAAAAAGATAGCTTAATAAAAAGGAAGAAAGAAGTAGAAATAGAGGCAAAGATTGAAGAGAGAAAAGGGTGGCTTAAGAAAGAAGGAAATGTAGAAAAAGGTCGTTGAGTGAAAAAGAAAGTTTAAAAAATGGATCTAAAAAGAAAAAGTTGAAATTCAATTCAAGAAGAGATAAAAGAATATAATATATCGAATGAAAGCGAATAAATTTTCAAAATCAAAAGAAACGGAAAAATCAAATGAAAAAAAAAAAAAAAAAAGAAATGTGGAAAATCAGACAATAATATGCAGAGAAATAAAAACTAGGAGTTTAACTGATTGGTCAGACTCGTTGCCGAAATAATTCCATTATTACTAACAATGAAGGTTGTCAAACTGATAAGAACTATTGAATAAAATAATTACGTATTTTCCGTTGGTACCGGTTACAAGTTAGGACAACAAAGGCTGATTTTTTAACCAATCAGAACTTCCGCTCATCTCTAGTCGAAAACTATGTTGATTTAATATCGAGAAGACCATTACTTGAGACAGACGCGGGCTCAAACTTCCAGAAAAAAACAAAAGAGATAAAACAACATTGCTTAGAAACGTTTGAAAAGAAATCGATTCATAAAATTGTAAAGAAAATATCTGAAATAAATCAAGAATATCGCACAGAGTCCTGAAAAGGGACAACTTTTAGCGAAAGATCGTACTTTTCTCGAACTTTTATACAATCAGGCTTTTTGTTTTATACAGTCAGGCTATTTTATACGGCCATGCTCTTTTATACAGTCACGCTTCAATAATCTGTAAGAATGACTTAGTCACATATTCAAATAATCCTTTTAAAATGTAATTAAAAAAAAAAAAAACACGAATTTATACAACAGCCTTTTTCTTTTACTTAATTTTATAAATATATCTGCTTCATATTAATACCTGTTCGAATCAATAAGAAGTAGATGTGATATTCCGAGACTAGTCAGCGGAAGAAAAATCTGCACCTAGAGAGTAATTAAAAGGTTCAGCTCGAAATTCCCAAGATGGTTAACTAACATAAAAAGAATAGTCCAGCGTACATTTCTCTTATAAATTCAGAGAATCATTATTCAGCAATGAAAGTATTTATTTTCTTTCTTTCTTTCTTTCTTTCTTTCTTTCTTTTGTTTAGCGGCATATCAACCTCTTTGGGTTATTTAATGTAGTAATATATAGTAAATATTTTGTACCCCATTTAATTTAAATTTTTGGATAATAATGGGTTTATTGCTAGAGGTCTTAAAAAATTAACCACTAGCAGGGATTGATCAAATTGTTGATCACGCTATATATCACGCTCCAACCCAGAAACTGTAACTAAGGACTGCTCAGCATAGTTGCAGTAAAAGCCACAGGTGGGCACTCTGGTTGTTGAATAAACAAAAATGCGCTTGAGCAAGCTTCTGCAAACGGGATTGGCTAGCTACCCAAGTAGACGGGTATCCTCGAATACAAGTGACCAGCTATACTTTCTACTACTACTACTACTACTACAAGTTAACTAATATCTGAAGGAGAAGACGTTCAAACATTTTCCCAAAGGGTTTTGCAAACATTTTACATAAGGGACTACCGACCATTTATGGGTTGGTACCGCGGGGAAGATAGTATTAAGAAATTGAATCCAGACCCCCGACTGAAAACCCATTATGGAACAGTCTTCCCAAGAATATACCAAACTAACTGTAAATATTGTGTATCATTCTTTGTTTCAATACATTTTGTTAACGAGATTATTCCATGCTTATTTAAGCTTAACATCAGAAAAACTGGAACTCGGCAAGGAGAAGGCTTATACTTAACATCAGAAAGAGGCAGCTGAAGTTTCTTGGACACATAATGAGGAAAGAGGGCCTGGAGAATCTGATACTCACGAGTCGAATAGAGGGAAAGAGTATCTGTCCATATTTCTGAGATGAGGTATTATGCACACTATTTACATTATTCGGACTATTGTCCTCATCTTTGTCGCCATATTTATCCCAACGTTTCGGCCGTTGTACGCTCCGGCCGTCTTCAAGTGGTTGAAATGTCGAACTGAACCCTTTATTTCACTCACTGGGGTAGACTGTTCTAGTTCCACGTGGCTTAACTGCCTTAACCAGGTATTGAACTCACACTCTTTGGGTCCTGGATCTAACTAACGCCTTTATCCATTGTGCCATGTGTCCTTGAGGACACAGAGGTTAAAGAGAGCGTGACATACCTGTCCAGATTGAGCAGGTGAATGAGCGAGGAATTGAACTTGCTGCAAGGGGTAGAGGTGGGTAGAGAGCCATGATCGCGTACGTTGTGAAAGGAGATGGCACATAAAAAGAAAAGATTAAAAATCCCGAACCATTATCCATTACACCATCTGCACAACCAAGCTTACAGCAGCTGGTATTCTCAAGCAGTCACCCATCTAGGTACTGACCAGGCTAGACGTTGCTTAACTTCCAGTATAGGTGCGTATTTTATTATAGAAGAACGATAGCAGTTATGCGCTGATGAATACTTTGAGATATTTTTCAGCATCTTCAATTTGATTTTATCCCTGATCGGACAAGGAAAGAAATAAAAAAAATGACGATGTCAAGTCTGGATTTTGACTTCATACTCAATTTTCCAGATCTTTTGTATTTCTGATTTGCAATTCGTGGACAGGCGTTACCATGGAGCAATTTTATTGGCCAACTTCCTCTTCAACATCCTCCTTCAGAAAAAAACCCCTAAAAAACAAAACAACAACAAAAAAAAAGCAAAAAAACAAACAAACGTTCTGTCAGTGTTAACCAAGATCGGATTGCTTATCCAACTCCGTCTACTAATACCCCAATGAAGAAACTAATTTACGACAACAAATATACGGCTTTATTTTACAGCCAAGTCACCGAATGTCAAGCTGGTTAGAAGTGGCTTGCTTACGAAGATGGAAACGATAAGGTTTAAACTGGTGACTTTATTACAGCTACACACGCACATATACACACATATATATATATATATATATATATATATATATATATATATATATATATGACCGTATGAATATTTAGGCCTTTTAATAAAATTTGAAAATAAAAATACAACAAAATGATGATAATATTGATGGCAATAAAGTTGATATCATATACATATACATACATATATATATATATATATATATATATATATATATATATATATATATATGAGTAGGCTTTATGAGTAAGTTGAAGCACAAAGAGGAAGATTTTAAAGTCGTAATTTTCTGACACGCCTGTGTACTTTTTCAACGATACGAGAAATAAACAAATACGTGTAACACACTCTTCATGAGAATATTATTGTCGTTGGTTAGAGGGTTCCATATGGAAACTATATTCTCTGAGTAAACCTAAATACGTAATTAATCCTTTAATATTGAGTTTACTCATAGAATATAGTTTTCCCAAGGTGCCCTCTAATCAACAACAATAACATTACCAGGAAGAGTAAGTAAATTTTCTTTGTTTATTCCTCTTTTTCTGTTTGAAAAAGAACACAGGAGTGTCCGAAAGTTACTTCAAAATCTTTAACCAGCTATAGGTAAATAGCAGGACAAACTGGGCGCTATAGCCTCTATTGGCAACTATTCTAAAAAAAAAAATCTGAATTCAAACTATCTTTGTAGATCCTGTCTTTTTAATTTCTGAAAGGAGTTAGCCTGAACTTTTCCATCAAGCCATTGCATTGAATATCAGTATGAACCATAAATGTAAGATAAAATGAAGGGGTTAATTGAATAAATGATGGTAATGATTCCTGTGTTTGTAAGTCGGTGAATGTATCTGCGTGTACATGTGTGTGAAAGATAAGCGGATAAGTGAAAAACATATGGATAAATGAACATCGCTAAATAATTTAAAGAGTACGCCATAAGAAAACCAACGTTAGCAGATTGATATATTTTCCTCTGAAAGGAGCTTGGATAAGACACTTGATAGAATTTAACGGTATCAACTATTGTGTCATGATCTCGGATTTCCATGACGTTTTTTATGCGAGCTGGGCAAATAAATATTTACCTTTTTTTTTTTGTGAAGCTTGATAGTTTGGTGGGGAAACGGATCACGTGTACCTTGTTCTGAATTATGCACAGGTAAGAGAATCTTAATTATTTCCGAAAATATGGATTTGTTTCGGAGCCAGGAAATTTCACCTGACACCCGAGTCTCGTTATCCTGAAATAGCATGTTGAAAATATCCTCTACGACTCCTCCAAAGAACAGGTAATCATAACATTACCCGTTTCCTTATAAGAAAACTTTCGGTATTCATTGAGCGAACAGCCAGTGCCACTGGTTGAAATTTATAAAATCTTTCTTTTAAAATAATTTTTCAAGAAAATAGGTTTCTTAATTCCAGTAGCTGCTACAGTTTTTTCCAGTAAGGATTTTGTTTTCCTTCCTGAACTTATCTGAAATTGTGCAGAATGTGAAGATCTTGATTATGTTATTATTTTCTCGTCGTTATATGTGCTATCCATTTTAGCTGTTGCTGTTGTTGGAAGTCCTCAAGTGATATAGTTTCTGCTATTTTGAACAGTTCTTTGTGTGCCAGTTTTGATGAGAGTCGAGCAAGTGTGATCTTTTCTAGATATACTTGCTTGAAACCATATTTAACCATAGCGGTTGTATATAGCTGACAGTCTAGATATTTCTGAACGTGTCTGGTGCTATGCATGGCATTCATGTAAAAGCCTCGATCTGACAAGGCTTTTAAAAATAAAGCATTCCAGATAAAATTTGACGTGAATGAATGACGAAATTTTAGAGGAATTAAAATCTAATCACCAAAACGTTCAGAAACCTGATTCTGACATCTAAGACGAAAAATTATCATGGGAAACAAATACAATAAAAGAACAGGAATTAAGAAGGCAAAAAATAAAACCTAGATAAGGTTTGAGACTCATCGATGAGTTATTTTCATGTTTCTCATAGCAATGTTACTCGAAGTAATATTCTTATCTTTGCTGTTTTCTTCTTGTTGAAATCCATGATGTCTTCGGTCTTACTCATTCATCCGAAAATATATTTCATTCT